CCCCCCCCCCCCAAAAAAAAAAAAAAAAAAAAAAAAAAAAAAATTTGTGAGTGCGTGTTTTGTTCGACCAACGTTGTCCTTTTCATTTCAGTCAAGAGAACTAAGAAAAAGCGCAACACTCCACTACGTTTGTTAACCACCACCATGTATATACAGTCGATACTTTGTGTTTTGGCATTTGCCCAATTGATTTCAGCATCCGCTTTCACATTCATCTTGGGTGCTAAAGAAAAGTCATGTTTCTATGTCTTTACTGAAAAACCATCCACCCAAATCAGATACTATTTTGCTGTTCAAAGTGGTGGTTCTTTTGACGTCGACTACGTTATATCCGATCCTAACCAGAATGTTATATACCAAGAAAACAAAAAGAGACACGGTGATTTTGTTTTCCCTGCCCAAATCCCCGGTGAATACGAATTTTGCTTCTCAAACACCATGTCAACTTATCTGGAAAAAGTTGTTGATTTTGAAATCGAGGTTGAAGACGAAGGAACCGGGTCTAAAGGTGTTAAGGCTAGTCTACCAAACCAGCCAAATGCAAAGCCATTGGCTCATGTGGAGAATATGAGAGCGACTGTTGACAATATTGAGTCACAATTGGACGGATTGACCAAAACTTTACAGTTTTACAAGACTAGAAATAGCAGAAACCAAGCTACTGTCCAATCCACTGAGTCCAGAATCTTTTACTTTTCAGTATTTGAAGTATTGTTGATGGTTGGTATGGCTGTTTTACAAATTACAATTGTTCAATTGTTTTTTAAGGGCTCAAGAAAACAGTTGGTTTGAGTACATAACATACGTACAAAAAAAAAAAAAATCATACATACTTTTAACTAGTAACCGTTACACATCTACTCCGTATAAATATATCAAGTAAGAAACACACTCCTGCACTCCCTCACTCACATATCCCATCCACTTTGCTGTAGCCTAATGTTTGCTTAAATTTCATTACAATGTCACTACCAGATGTAACCTCGCTCAACGCTGAACAATTCTCGAGATCGTCATCACCTAAACCGACTTTGCAAAGCTTGGATCAAGACAATTCTGATGACGAACGCTTGAATAGTGACGAAGATGAGGACGAGGAAGTAGAGGAACAGCAGCTACAAAAACATTCCTTGGATGTTGACACGGAAGATCAATTAGCCAGAGAATCAGACATCACTGTCTCAAACATCAAACTGTCCCAAGCTGAGTATCGAGGATTTACCATCTACGTGCTAAGTTCATTAGCCCTTGTGCTATACGTCTCATGGACACTAATACCACCAGCAACACTACACAAACTATCCATCGACTACTACCCAGACAAGTATTGGAGTATTGCTATCCCCAGCTATTCATTAATGTTGATGTTGTTTGTGTATTGGTTCCTAGCGTTGTACAATACTGAAGTCTTGACTTTGCCGTTGGATAATATCAATACATTTGTCGATGAGTACACTCAATTCCCAAGTAATAACGAACTTCTGCTTGTGGGCCATAATCAAGTGATTAAGGACTACATTCATCAAGCACCCAGTGGAGTTTGGGATCTTCCAATCACTATGGTTAATGAAGTATTGTATGATGACCTGGATTAGGATATGCTATCGTGAGTCCACAGTTGGAAAACGGGAGTAACAAAACAAACACGTGACTGTTATGTCGTTTCTTTTACATTCACTGATTTGACCAAGTGCTCATACTCCGACCGATTTGAATCTGATGTTTCCCAATTAAAAAGGAACTTTTTTTTCAAGAAGAGAATCGTACCAGACGAAACCATTCACTTGATCAGATCCGTTGTCACTTCTATGGCCACATGCGTTCAGGCTACTTTACCGTCAAAAATTTATTTTTGGGGTGCCGTAAGCAAGACGTCGTGTTCAAGATCTTTCGTTTTTGCTTCTCTTTCCTCGAGTAACTGCCATAGGTGGTGAATTTGAAAGCTTCCGTGAAAAAGTACTTCGAGTCATGTTCTTTATTTTCATCACGACCTCATTAAATACCATCAAAAGCACAAGATGATACTTTCTAAAGAGTCACCCCTTGTCGTCTCGGCTGGTATCACCTTGCAAGGAGACATTCAATAGTGAAATCATTGCGATTGCACCTGATTGCAAACAACGCACAGAGCTTTGACAACAGCAACAGCTACTACAGCCACAAACACAGAGACGTATCAAATGCAGAAATCATGCATGAGCTAGATGCCGCAAGGACTGTTTCTGCTTGTAAAATACTGAAGCGATGTGCCCACCGTTGATTAAACTTTCAGATCTGCACGAGATAAATCAACGCAGGGGGATTCACAAGCATTATATGTGGAATTACTTCATATCCACTCTATGAAACCAGTTCGGTCTTGCGTGTTGCAGACTCTTTGACCAATCCTACAACGCCGGATGAATCTTCAAAATCTATGTACTTTTCTCCTTAAATCTATACATCTATATACTATTGAACAATAAAATTACACCCATTGGAGCCACCCATTGGAGCCTCTCAGTAAGTATCCAGTCTACCTATTCCTAGATCCACTCAGTAGCCTCTCGCTTTCTTTACATATGCCTTCGCATGGTCAAATATCCAATCTGCTCCTCAACGATGGGTTAACTACTTTCAAAACCTGACTCCATCCATCTTGTCCCAATACAGTCTTGTAATGACCAATCAAGTTCAAAAACTGCTGTTGCAATTCACTTGTAGCTTCTTCGTAATTTGCCAAAACTTCCAAAAACTTGGCAAGGTTTATCTTCCCCTGTTGAGTTTGCAAACCCCCAAACCCAGAGTCGGGATTGACTTCAATGATCCTCAACATCCCCTGTATCCCAGTCTGCTTCTCCTCATTGTCAACCAAATTGGCAAACCTTGCACACCACTGAGATATAAACTCAACCAATCTTGGAGCAAGCAATTCCGATCCGACAAGACCCATCCTTCCCAAACATATGGCACAGTTCTCCAGCACAGTGACTTGAGTATCGGCACTATTGATGACAGGAACCAACAAGCTGATCAAATTAGACAAGTACGGTGCAGAGTCCTCAGCTGGCAACCGGATAACCATCTCGCCCAATGCCCAGATAGCATTGTTGTAGACCGGAAACGTTTCCGAGCTTCGGTTGTTGATTTCGTTGCCGATACTAATGAAAATCAGATGCAAGTACGGCTTCAAGATATCGATGATATAAATGGCCATATCTCCAAGCAATGCATAAGCCGATTGTCGCACATCTGAATTGTAGTCTTCGAAACAAACCAACAAACAGTCAGTCAAGTCAAAACTTGGCTTGTCATGATGTTGCACCAATTCTATTGAATGGAACTCAAACCCTTGTATTAGACCATCCACCAAGTCCAAAGAAGTGACCATGAAATCCTTTTCTGGTGTGTCTATCGAAGGATCAGTTTGGCAATTTTGGTCCATGATTATACAATTGGATAATATTTTCATAGCTCTGTCGTAAACTGGGATTGCATAAGGAGCAAACAACTCTTTTAAAGTAGCAGCAACTGATGCCATGCACTCAAGTAAAGGCCACAATGCCGTGTCGTCGTCCAGCAATTGATCCCACCTCAGTAATAATGGGGGAAGTAGAATCGAGACGTACTTTGGATCTCGTGACAAGTTCTCGTAACCCATCTTTTCAACAAAGGTCTGCACACAATCATACAAGATGATCAAGTTCTTACGTTGATATCTCTGAAAACATTGCGCAAAGTGATTGAGCAAAGGTTCGAGGTAAAACTCAATCAATTCCGGATCCGACTCCTCAATGAATGCCGAAAGAGCAGAACAAGCTGCTTCTTGAACAATCTTTTTAGGATCTAAAGCACAAGCAACAATCGATTGGAAAGTAGGTTGGAAATAAGTGGCATATTCACCACCCTCATGCGGTTCTATGCTAGATTTTGAAGATGTGGTTTATCTTTGACCATGATGTTAAAAAAAAGAGCTTACTCCAACAACAATAGGAAGCAAAACAAACGATCTCGTTTTTCTTTTTTGTGCAATTAGTTACGAGCCACAACATTACGTAATTTTCTAATGAGAGGCAAAATGTACATTGACAATAAAGTATGTTTCGAAGTGCATTGCAATCGTGTGACGTAATACAACCCATGCAAGATATGTGCTGGGACTGTGCTGTGTATGTGTATGTGTATATGTATGTGTTGAGGTTGCTGTGTGCGTGATGGCTGGTTGATAGCAACTTCTTTGTCTCACCCGCCCCGCCCCCAAATTCTTCTGTCTTGGATTAGATAACACAAAACAGGTAGCAATCTACTCGTAGTTACCATAGTTACCAGTTACGTCATGCCAATCAACAAGAGACCCACAGTCACGCACACAAACTTTTTGCTATGTTTCACTCACAGGTAAGGAACGAGGAGAAGAAGAGATGATGGATATCTTTGGTCATTCAGTTTTTTTGAAATCTGGACACAATAGCCTTTTCTAGTATCTATTGTGTTTATATGTCTCACATTTTCTCGAATGCATTATAAACAGCAAAGTTAAAATCGATATATAAATACGGACCAAATTTCATTCATTACAAAATTACTCTACATTCAGCAGATTTACGATTCAAATTACAATTTTAACTAGTGCAATCAAACAACAATGTCAGACTTAGGTAGAAGAGATATCGGTGACAAACTTGAAAGCAAAGTCAAACCAGACTCCCAAAAAACCCTTTTTGAACAAACCAAGGACAAGATTGCCAATGCTGCTGATGATTTAGCTGGTAAAGGTACTTCAGAGAATGACAAATCCATTCCGCAAAAGGCTTCCGATACCGTTTTTGGTAGCAAGTGAAATATGGGCCATATCCAGAATATTGAAAGCTTTTATATAGTTCTATAGTGTAACCGAAGCGATTGGAAATATCTGAATAGTTGTAGCTTCTTAAACATTTTTGCATATCGAGAGAGGAGACTCTTAGAGAGAGGAAGTGATACATTGGTACCTTGCAAGTTGCGGATGAAAGGTTGTTCCAATTGCGTAGACTGCCAGTGTAGTGACAGAGAACATTCTATTTCGAAAAAACAGTTGAATTATTCGATAATTTTGGTCTTTCGCTACTAATCATTCGAAAATAAATGATTGAAAGACAGAGGATCGGAATTGAATTTTTTACACAGTTAATTTGACAAACTCAATTGATTATTTTGTTGCCTAAGTAGCTATTATAATCTATTTGCTTCCAAAAACAGCATCTGAAGCAGATTGGGTGGCAGACTTGTCGTTTTCTGAGGTTCCCTTACCGGCCAAGCTGTCAACAGCATCAGTAACCTTGTCCTTGGCTTGTTCAAAGGTGGTCTTTTGGGAGTCTGGTTTGACCTTGCTTTCGATTTTGTCGCTGATATCTTTTCTTCCTAAGTCTGACATTGTAAATTGTTATTTGTTATCAAGTATTGATGGGATAAAAGAAGAAAGAAAAGAATGAGATCGATTTCGAGGTAGAAAAGGATATTTGACCTCTATTTATAGTATTCCAAATCGTAGTATGTATTGCTCCTTACATTGCTATTCTCGAGGAAACAGTTCAATATTGTAGAAGCGGTTTTTCGTGTTAAATAGCAAACTAAGAAACCACGCTTCAGGAGTTTTGTGTAATTTATTTGGTCACATGCAAAACACCATACATTCTACCATCTTACAGTAGCAACAACAACAACGAAATAATATACCACAAATGTGTATGAAGGTATGACGTGTTAAATACAACAAATTGAGTTAATAAAGAATGACCTTATGTACTGTGTACTGTGTATTGTAGCAATCTTGGATTCCTCCCCTTCCTCCCCCCTATTTTGCCACAGTGTAGAGATTGACAATTTGCATGTGCCACAGTCCCCCCACCCCCCACATACAATTTTTGTTGACATAAACATTGCTACTCGGTTAATATTGTGCGATTTTAACCCAAAAAGGAAACTCCGTTGTACTTGTATTTTTTTTTTTTTTTTGAAGGTTGCTGTCAACCAGAGGAGGAAACAAAAAAGGCAAGTGACTTCACACAGTAGGATAGAGAGTAAGATTTGCGTAAATACTTCCTTTCATAACCAACCCCGCTTAGTAGTCACTCGACAGGCATACTCGTAATTGGGAGGTCCAAATCGAATCTCACCTCTGTTTTTACATGCCTTTTTACGAGATCGAGAAAATGCAAATTTTCTTTTCTTACTTCACACTTCACTACATAGAGTCTAAACTTAGATATACATTCACATATGGAGAACTCTGCATGAAGCAACTGGATAAGGAGAAGGATTTTACCCTACTACAAAGTAAACTGAAGTGGCAGTTGGAGATGGAGGCAAATGTTGATTTCGAATATAAACACTACTCTCATCTCGAATAAGCAAAATCACGTGACTCATAAACTAAAAGGGGTCACGTGTGTTATTTCTAGTGGCGAAGGTTGTATACTTTCTAGGAACTTCTTAGACAACTATGATAGTTAATAATTTAAGAGGTATGATTGATATTTAGTTGACTCTGGTACTTGCGTCAAAACTTGTGATAATTCTACTCTATCAAAA